GCAGAATATCAAAAGGAAACAATTGAGCATTGAGTTTCTAACTGAAAAAAAAAAGTCGATACATAGTCAATACCTGAAGGACATTGAAGGAAACATAATATAAATCTAACATGGAGCTGGTTGAGATCAGGAAAGAAGAAAGAAACTGAAGGCTTCATTTTGGCTGCCTAAGAACAAGCCTTGTAGACCAATTCCATGAAAGCAAAAATTCTACATGTCAGTAACAACAGCAAATGTCACTCATGCAACAAGAAAGATGAAACAGTGAATCACCTTATCAGTGGCTGCAGCAAAATCTCACAGACTGATTATCTACAATGTCATGACTGAGTTACCAAAATCATACACTGGAAGCTTTGCCAGAGGTTTGAGTTCAAATACAGCAAAAATTACTGGAAACACTAAATTGATAAAATTCTTGAAAAAGAGCAAGTCAAGAACCTATGGAACTTTTGGATCCAAACAGGCAGACAACTGGCCCACAACATGCCTGACATCACTATTGTGGAAAAGAAAAAAGTCTGGTTCATTGATATTGCAATATAGCTGATGTATTTTAAGAAAAAAACAGCTAGAAAAAAATAACAAAATATTGTGATTTAGAAATTGAAGTTGAACAATTATGGATGAAGAAATCAATGATTGTACTAATAGTAATAGTAGTTCTTGGAGCAATACCCAAAGAACTGTCTAGATACATGGAAATTTTGAACATGAACCTGAATGGAAATTATTAGACCTGAATCTCCCGACTTTGCAAAAACCACTCTATTTGGGACTGTTTTTGAACGTAGACTCTACCTTAACAGCTCTTAGATCCTTGGTTAGGATTTAAACTGTTAAGTTTTACCAGTCCCAGACTATGAATCGAATTGAAGATTAAATCATAATAATAATAAGAACAAGAACAACAACAATAAAAATACTCATTATTGAGTATCACCCAGATCAACAAGACCCACATTGAATACTATAGCTCCTGAGCATTCAGTAAAAAATATGCTATAGGGCTCAGCTCTCTCACCTAGGCAACTAAGACATGGAGTTGACAGGCAACTGGAAAATTAATGAAAAAAGCAAAAAAATCTAGAAAAGGAAACTTTGTCATGCTCAGTTATGGAAGCTTATTGTCGACCTGAGCCAATAAAATGTGGATTTCAAAAGCATGTGTTCAAGATTTGGGAAAAAAATCACCTGGATATGGAAATCATACCAGAGGCGTATTATTTTGAAATACAAATGCTTTATAATGCAACATTACAAGAGATTGCAAGCAGAGCAGGGCAAGATCAAGGGCCATGTGTAGCTAATAATAGAGATAATTTAAAAGTGGAGCAACAAGTAGTGGAGAAAAGGAAAGAAATCAGAGAAGCAAGAGCTGGATTAGACCTTGAAGAACCAACAGCCAGAGCCGAATTAGTTGAAAAGATTAAGACTCAGATGAAAAACATGGAAAGAATTCAATTGTCAAAACTGAATCAAGTTAGTAAGAGAAGTTTGACTAAATTACTGAAGAATGTGAATTCATCTGTCCAGATTATTCCAACAGAAACATTATTTCAAACAAACTAGCTAATATATGCAGCACTTTATGTTACTACAGAGGAATTGGGCTTGAAAATTGGAAAGAATAAAGCAATTAAAAAGGGAAAACCAAAATAGAAAATCCACCTAGATTTAAAAATAAAGAAAATTCGATTGGATTTAAGTAATTTGAAGAATTTGAGGCAAGGAAACCTGGAGAATAAAAAAACAGAATTAGTCTGACAGCAAGATATAACCTGGAAAACACAGAAATTGCAGTTGTAGTTGAAGAGCTATTGCAGAGAAAATAAAGCGATATGATAACCAAATAATGCAATTTCAACAAAATTCACAATTTCAAAGGACTCAGCATCATTTCTATAAGATCTTTGAAAGTGGACATGGTACACCACAAGTGAAAAACCTAATAAAGAAAATACCTTGAAATTTTGGAAGAACTTGGAGAAAACAACAAGAAGCTCAGTAGGAATACAAAATGAATCAAGCAGGTTGAAAACACTGTAAACATTGCTAGAATGGAAGATGTTCACATAACAACAGAAATGGTGCAAAAACAAGCAAAGAAAGTCAACTGGAATACTGAGCTGCATGGATTCTGGTTGAAATCACTAACAGGTTTGCATGCAAGATTGGGAAATCAGATGAAACAAGTCCTGGAAACACCAGAAAGCAAAAAATGACTAACAGCTGAAGAAAAGGGAAATGAATCTGAAAATTACAGGCCAATAACTTGCCTGCTGACAACATACAAATCACTTACAGGCATTATTGCAAATGAAATGTATGGATATCTGGAAAACAAGGATTTGCTGCCAATAGAACAGAAAGGGTGCTGAAAAAAATTCAAGAGGAAGCAAAGACCAATTAATGATTGACAAACTGATTTTGAAGAATTCAGAGAAAAGACAAACAAATTGATTGATTATAAAAAAGCATTTGATTTTGCTCCACCCAACTGGATTGAGAAATGCTTAGACATTTTTGAAATTAGCAGCAATGATAATTGATAATAAAGAGTTAATAAAAAATAATCAGTTTCATATGATTTTTATGCAATGAAATTCCTTTAAAACATAATTAGTTGTGGTCCAGTATTTTTGAAAAAATGATTGTGATTACTAATAGTACAAAGTAAAACCCTGCTTGAAAGTCTATAGAGAATGCACATTGTAAGACTAGGAGCAGTTTGTTATTATTAAACCATATAAAATATCAATCACATTGGTTGATATTTTAGAGAATGTTGAGTCTGACTTGATAGTTTGATGTTAATTTTGTTCCTCTTCAATTATTGTAAAGAAAGCAAAGCAAAACAAAAAAAGTAAAGGCCAAACATATATATCTTGGCAAAAACATTCTCTTTTGGCATGCCACAAACATGCACTTTTTCTTCAGCAAGTAAAATTAACCAGCTGATTTCAACATGCCTAACAACAATAATCTATTGCCTGCCATTGCTGAAAATATCTGCAATGTATTTAATAAAAATATTCAATTAAAACACTTCACCAAAGAAAGAAAGAAAAAAGAGCCCCACAAAAGCTTTATGCAACCTGGAAATCTGTCAATGGACCTCAGCCACAGAGCAGATGAATATGTAACTCAGCTTTCCCCAACTTTGTTTTCCAGCCCTTTAGATGTTGGGGTTACTAGAATTCCTACACAAGTCTGGAAGGCTGTTTTGGTAAACATAGTTTTCCTGACTTTTGTAAACATTAAGCTTGAGTTGGAGAAGCTTGTAACTTTAGTTATCCCACTTTATTCCTATTCAGCTGGGATATTTATGCTGGTCTATAACAAATAAAGATTTGATAAAGATCAGATGGTTATGTAAAAAAAAAATCCATTGCTTAAATGAAAGAATATTGTGAATAATGAAATATGGCTAACAAAGCTCAACTTTCCATGCTTGTGTAAACAGGAAGAAAACTATTAATTCCTTAGATGCCTTTATGTACACAAATCCTAAAGAGATATGACTAATTTAACAGTTTAATCTTTTGAAATAATAGCTGTGAATATTGTTAAAGCTTAATGAATGTCTTAGAATATACTGTATCTGACAAGATTCTAAGTAATGAGCATTACAAAATATTCCGGACTGAAAGTATCCTGACAAACAGAATTTTGCTAGTGATGGCATGCCTTCCTCTACATTATCTTTTGTAACTTGGTCCTAAATATATTCCTAGGATGCATTTCGAAATATGACTTTTTGACTGATAAAGTCTTCACTGGCAAAAGCATGCACAGAAGACCCGGTATGGACATACTGATTGGGATTTATAGGCATGAAGTCTAAAACATTTTAAAGAAACCAATTTGCCTCTTAGTTCATCTGACTTCAATTGCCAATTAATAGGCTTCACCAGGGAAACCCAAGTTCACATTTCACTTTGACCAGTCTTCACTTCATACTATTGGATTACAAGGAGTTATATTCTTAGCCAAATCTACTTCACAGGATTGTTTTTAAAAGAGATCTCAATGTAAGTTGTTGAAATCCAAACATGTAACAACTCCGTGGTCTGCCAGTGGTAATTATAAATTCAGAATCTGAATTCTTGGTTGGCAGATTTGTCAGCTATAGTTATTAGAGAGATGGTGGAAATAAGGAAGGTTTGCATGTGTGATTAGTTTCTGGAGGTCAAGTGTTAGCTGTCATTAGTTTCGCAACCTTTGTTACATACCCAATTTGATTTAGAATAACAGGTGAACCCTGTTAAAAGAAACATACATGAAATAGTACTGTTTTTAGATTGTTAATAATAATATTTGCAAGAAAAGATAAGAATCATTTTGCAGAAAGATGGAAGATGGGTCTTTAAACCAGACGTTTAAATTAATGGTTTCACAGAAACATAGTTCTGCTTCCACTTCATTAGTGCTTTTTGTCTGCTTTGTATGTCTATTGAATACATAGCTTGATGTCAGCATACAGGATAGAACAGAAGAGATCCCAAGGGTGATGATTTGGACCTACTCATTTGTGCCTTGAATAAGAACTTGGGTTGATTTGTTTGATGATCCACTTGAAAATTTCAAAAATGTCAATACTTTTTCTATCCAGCATCTGCAAAGTCCAACTTTTACTTTAAGAGAATGTCATTGCTTGCATTGTTCTGATCTTCACAGATATAGATATATCACTGCATTTGGATACCTTTTCCAAAGCCTGCTGCTTTACCAAAGGCTAGTCTACAATATATTTTTGATTGTTTTGTTTCTTTACTGTTGATAGTTGATCCTAAAAGATAGAAGCCATTTACACTTTAGTATCTTCACTGTCAATTCTAAGGCTGGTTGTTTTAGTTTGGTTACCTTATTTAATTTTCATTCCATTTTTACTGTTCTTTTTGACATTTATTATTAGAGCTTAGCTTACAGATCCTTTGCCTTTTCAGTTACCAGAGTATGTTTTAGTTTATCTGTATTCTTGCTTTATAACTTCTTAGGTAGTGAATATGATGAAGAAGAAGTAGATTATGAAGATTCAGATAGTGATGAGTCCTGGACCACAGAAAGTGCTATCAGTTCTGAAGCTATTCTAAGTTCTATGTGTATGAATGGAGGAGATGAGAAACCTTTTGCCTGTCCTGTTCCTGGGTGTAAAAAGCGATATAAGGTAAGTGTGTTGTTTATGATATGAAAAACTGTTCTTTCCAAAGTAGACGCTGTGCAATTTTATAGATTTTATCATGATCTATATTTATTTAGAAATTTGTAAGATTACCGTATATGCTGGCGTATAAGACGACTTCTGCAAGTGCTAAACTCGGCGCCAAAGATGGGGGTCGTCTTATACACCGAGTCGTCTTATACGCCGGAAATACTGGTAGTTTCCGGCGTATAAGACGACGTTCTAGGAATGCGGCTTGGCGACAAAGACTGGGGTCGTCTTATACGCCGGGTCGCCTTGTACGCCGGCATATACGGTACTCAATTCTAAAATAACTCTGGGGATCATATAGTAAAAAGAGTAAACAAATGTTGAAAAAAACAACAATTAAAGAACAATCATTTACTTAGGACTTGCCTAACCTAAGATCTGAGAACAAAATCAATTTTGGAGGCCTTTTTAAACATGGCCAAAGTGGAAACAAACATATCTCAGGAAGAATAAGTTCTAGAAGGTAAGCACTATGAGGAAAAAGGCACACAGGTCCCCATGAATTTATGAACAAAACCTAAAGTCTTCCCAGTTTGTTTGATTGTGCAGCCTGACAGAAAATACGGAAGAGCAATGTTCTTATATGTGATCAGGTCCTGTGCTCTGAATATATTCTGTATAAAAGCCCTAAGATTTGTTTTCTACAATCTAACACTTTTCAGATTTGTCAGACATTCCTATTAGAGATGGTGGAAGTATTTTATTGCAAGGCGGCTTACAAATGGCTGGACCACTTGAAAAGTGATTCCAAGTTATACACAAAATGCTGAAAGGCTGTTAGAATAAGGGAAAGGGTTTTGGATCTTATAAAGATTGATGCAGTTTCTGCATGATTATATGGGTAGGATATTATATGTTCTGCTATAGGCAACTGTCACTCTGGTCTTCCCAAGAGATAGGATAAAAAGCTTACAATGAAGCTATCAGGATTAGAAGAAAAGTGAACCGTTAAAGCTCTAGCTAAGACATCCTGTTTCAAGCTGTCCTGTGATTAGACTTTTAGTAAATCCCTGGTAAAATATATTCTTTAAATGGCTTCTTAAGATACTTTGCTTTGAAAATTAAACAGCCTGACAATATTTCTAGCATCACTACAAAAGCCTTTGTTTTCAATCCCGTCATAGAATGTGAATGGTATAAAGTATCATGCCAAGAATGGCCACAGGACACAGATCCGTGTGCGGAAACCCTTCAAATGCCGCTGTGGAAAGAGTTACAAGACAGCTCAGGGTCTGCGGCACCACACAATCAACTTCCACCCACCAGTGTCTGCTGAGATTATCAGGAAGATGCAGCAATAAGATGCTGGTCAAAAATGTGCCAAGGAATCCTCACCAGCAGTTGCTGATTTTGAAGACAGCCACCTTCTCTTGGGAAGCATTGAGCAACCCTTTAAAGAAGAAATTAAAATGCATGCTTTACATTTTTTCCCCCTGTAATTTTGGAATGACGTATCTTTGTAGAGTTAATGATTTTGTACATTTGCACATGTAATCATCATGCCCATATACATTACTTTAATATAAAGGTGCTAAAAGCTACAGATTTTTTTAAAGTATTTTTCCGTCCCCACCCCCACCCCCAAAGGTGAATTAGGGAACGTTGTATATTTAGCTGTTCCACAGTATTAAATAAGGACGGGGGAGGAAAACATGGCACTAGGATAACTTCCAAGATTGTAATGTGTTTGAAGAAATTCAACACATCAGTTCCTATGTGCTTGCAAAAACCAAAAGAATTATTCCCTATTATCCACCTGGTTAATATGCCTTATGTAACAGAGATATCTGTAGGATAGCAAGGTTATAGGTATTGGAATTATAAATAAGAGAACATTTAACATATTCGAAGAATATTTTCATACTCAAATAACATACATAAAAGGTGTGCTTGCTGTATTTTATATTATCTTGCAAATCCTTTTAGTCTTCTGAAATGCTGAAATTTTTGCAGTGAATTAGTAGATCACTCTATCATTAAAATTCCTACTTCTATCTGTACAAAACTTATGTATTTAATGTTAACAATCCACTCAAGTTTCTGAGGTCTATCTTTTCCTGATCCTGCTATTGGCCTCTGCTATCTATTACTAGCAGATACTTGGAAATGAAGTGCAAATTTTCTGAGATAAATTAATCTTCATCTTAGATGGAGTCCCTAAAGCACTTTGTAGTTCTTCGTTGCCAACAAAATTAAATGTTTTATGTTGCCAATTCTTGCAACTATCATTGTTGCAAATAAAAAAGAGGCATATTGTTAAGAGGTACAGTATTTATGTTAAGGGAGTTTTTCATTGTACCTTTGGATTTTGCATGTGTGTGTACAGGTAAGACTTCAACTTACAACCACAATTTAGCCCAAACTTTTTGTTGCAAAGCAAGAGAACTGAAGTGAGGTTTGCCCCGTTTTACAATCTGGCTTGCTACAGTTAAGTCAGTCACTGCAGTTATTAAATTAGTAACATGATTGTTAAATGAACCTGACTTCCCCATTGACTTTGCTTGTCAGGTCACCAAAGGTGATCACATGACCCCAGGACACTGCAACCATCACAAATGCATACCAGTTGCCAAGTATCCAACTTTTGATCATGTGACTATGGGGATGTTGAAACGGTTGTGTGAAAACCAGTCATAAGTAAATTTTTTCAGTGCCATTATAACTTTGAATGATCACTGGATGGTTATAAGTCAAGGACTACATGTAATATGTATGTAATATGTTATATATGTGTATGTGTAAATGTGTGTGTGTGTGTGTATGTGTGTATGTATATATATATATATATATATATATATATTCACGATTAAAAAGGTTAAAAATGTGAACCCTAGGGATATTCATAATAAAATATAAAAATGAACACTAGGGTAATAAAAACTAAAGAAGTTTTTAATGGGTTAAAACTATAAAAGTTTTAAAAAGCGCCAAGCTTTCGCCGTCACCTGCCGGCATCCTCAGGGCTGGCGTGCCAGAGAATGAGAAGGTCTTTTTATAGGCGTGCCGAGGTTTGCACTCGGCTCCTTGATCTTGTTATGGGGCCTGATTGGTTCAGCCGTGTGTAGTTGGCCTGCGCTTTTTTTCTCTTCTTAGTTGTATTTTTATCCTCGTCCGTCTCCAGTTCTCCCAACCTCAGATTAGCTGAATGGCAATTCCAGTTATTTCGGTTGCTTTCATGTTCCGATCTCCCCTCAGGCTTGGGTGGTGGTGGACGTTCCAAGTTCCTTTCTCTGCCCCGTTCTGTCCGGTTGCTACTTTTAGAGTCCCATATATTTCCGGTCTCAATGCTTTCGGTTTTAATATGTTTATCATCCTGGTAATCCCGTAAATTGTTACGAGTCTGGTATAGCGTGGGGGGGTATTCCGCATGGTGGAGGGGTCGTCTCTTGTTCGTTGTCATGCCCAGCTGTCTCGCATGTGTCTTACTCCGAGTGCTCAATCCTGGGAAAGGGCAGCACGGCGTATCTCAACTAATTATTGCAAGCTGGCGTTCCTCCACCGCTGTATCAAGGAGAACCTAACACCAAACTTGTTAAGAAGAAAACCAACGGTAGACTCCTTGGAATGCTGGCAGGCCGCCCGTCAATTCCAACGACGCACACTATATGCGTTAATTAATGACCAACACAGAAGAATAGGCAATTTAAAGAGAGACATCCAAGGCTATCGAGACTCCTGTAATACAGAATTAAACCATCAGCATTTCAATATGCTAAACCAGCATATTCGGCAAGTCATGGCCCGGACGACTCAACACATGACAAGAACATTCCTTAAAAGGCTGAATTCATTACGTGAGTCTTGTAATAACAATTTACCTGGGGTGGTGCACAACCTATCTTCAAGGGTGTTAAGCCAGCCACAGTTATCCCTACTGCAACGAGATGCAGGACACAACCTTAATGATGCGGATACACTGGACTTTGTGGCGGCATTAGAGCCCGCCCTACACCATACTGGGATAGGAGAGGAAACCAAGAATGTAATCAGGCAACAGGTCACGAGCCTAATTATGAGCCACAGACACCAACAAGTTTTATCGGCAGAGGAAAGGGTGGCTTTAAGCCAACTTAGAAAAGATGACACCATTGTCATCCTCCCAGCCGATAAGGGGAGGGCAACTGTCGTTTTAGACAAAGAGGCATACGTAAGAAAGGCATTGGATTTACTCCAAGACGGTGCTGCCTATAGAGTGGTTAGTAAAGATCCCTCCACCACTTTGAGAAACCGTACTAACAAGCTCCTTGATGACCTCAAACGTAAGGGGAGGATGGGGGAAGAAGAAGTGCTGAGAAGGATCCGTCCTGGTGACTCAGCACTCGCTAGATTCTATGGCTTACCTAAGATACATAAGCCCAATGTCCCCCTCCGCCCCATCGTAGCATTTAGGGGTACCCCATCTCTGAACTTGCCAAGTGGCTGAGCGTTCGCATCGGCCACTTGGCAAGTAACAGCGACACCACCGTAAGATCGGCAGAAGAATTCCTCAATAGAATAAAAACCCTGAAGGTAGAAGAGGATGAGCTCATGGTCTCCTTTGACGTAGTTTCTTTATTTACGTCCATCCCGCAGAAACTTGTGGTTGAGGTCCTAAGAGACCGGCTTAACCAAGGAGACCATGGGCAACACCAGGACTCCCTTCAAACGGAGGACTTGGTAAAGCTCATGGAAATATGTCTTAACACCTACTTCACCTTCCAGGGGGTTATATATGAGCAAATTAAAGGAACACCTATGGGGTCGCCGATCTCTAGTGTGGTTGCAGAGATGGTACTCCAGCAGCTGGAACACATAGCGATGGCCCAATACCAACCAAAATTTTGGGCCCGCTATGTGGACGATACGTTTGCGGTCATTAAGAAAAGACACAAAACTGAATTTATGGGCATCCTGAATTCGGTATACCCGGACATCCAATTCACCATGGAGGAAGAAGATCAGGGCAGTCTAGCATTTTTGGATGTACTAGTGCAGCGCCAGGTGGATGGATGTCTAGCTACCAGGGTATACCGAAAACCAACGTGTACAGAGAGGATTCTCCACTTTAGGAGTAATCACCCGATGGCCCATAAAGCCAGTTGTGTCAGGACGCTATTCAAACGAGTGGAGACACACTGCAGCACCGTCAAAGCCAAAAAAGAAGAGAGAAACCACCTCTTCCGAACATGTAGAGGCAACGGCTACCCGGTTAAAATCATTAATCAGTTCAGGAGACCACCTGGACTCCGGAGTAACCCTGCATCTCAAGAATCCGTGCCTCAAGCCACCACACGTATTGCCCTCCCCTATATCCATAATGTATCGGAAGCCACAGCTAGGATCCTGGCACCACACAAAATACAGGTGGCCCATAGACCCAACCAAACACTGCGAGCGGCCATAATGCGCCCTAAGGACCCGCTCCCCAGCACCGAAAGATCAGCAGCCGTCTATAGGATTGACTGTACGGACTGCCAATGTAATTATACTGGGGAGACTGCTAAACGCATTAAGACCAGGGTCCATGAGCACGAATTAGCAGTGAGAAGGAGAGACTGTCACTCCCAAATATGGGCCCATATGGTGGATCTAGGCCATAAGTTTAACTTTAGTGACGTCAGTGTATTGGCAAATGATAACACCAAAGGGGGCCGCCTTCTTAGAGAGGCATGGCTCTCAGACAGTAAGTCTATTAATAGGCACATTGACCTATGCCCATCCTATTTAGCCTTAAGATCATGGAGTGCCAATAATCGGCGGCAACACCCCCGACGGCTTGATAACAATCTGGGTAGCACCCGCACCGCCCAACGAACCAGGTGCAATTCGAAAGAAAGGAAGCAAACGCGAGGCACCTTGACCATCCCCGCGGGACTGCCGCAATCCCAGAAGATCAGGGGAGGGACAAGAACCAAGGTCCGGACCCCCGGCTACAAAGAGGAGATGAGGGAAGATACGGCAGGTGGAAATGCGGAGGAATCACCAAACGCAATGGCCTGCCCACACACCAAAAGAAACATCGCAGCTGGTCGGGAAAGGAGGAGAAAACCTCCCCATGTAGCTGGAACGATCAGCTCCTATGAGGACAAACCATGGGAGGTGGTTGATGATGAACCCCTACATACCGTTGGAGAGGAGGAAGGAAAGTCGGAGAGCGGCAGGGGGCGAGAGATCGAGCTGTCATACCCCCTACCTGACGATCCTGAGGACTCCCATAGAACATACGCGAGCGCTTCCAACAAGGTAAAAAAGGGGAGAACTAAGGAAGAACACGGTAACCAGGAGGGACGCGCCCCGATGACTATGCACACACCCCCAGGATTGAGCACTCGGAGTAAGACACGTGCGAGACAGCTGGGCATGACAACGAACAAGAGACGACCCCTCCACCATGCGGAATACCCCCCCACGCTATACCAGACTCGTAACAATTTACGGGATTAC